TATTTAGGATGAAACTGTGGAAATAATCCCAAACGGAAAAATTCTTGTTTTTCCTGAAGCAGTGGGCGGGTCTTTCAATGCAGAAACTAACATTAGACAACAACTGAGACCAAGTTATTAATGTTTGTTGATGCTGTTGTTTACATCAGTGAGGTAAACCTCAGAACCAGCTCGTCATAAAAACTTCCGTTAAAATTTGAGTTGTTTAAAAAAAATACAATTTTTAACTTACAGTGGTGATTTTACTGATCAGTCAATTTTTTTTATTTGGTCAGAAAAAAAACAAAAATTCCCATCCCTCCATCATCTCAGTTATAACAGATTTGTGTCCAGGGTCTACGCAGTCCCATAGCTTTCAACCCCATTTTTAACCCATAATCCTCAGGGGCCTTTCTGACAACTTCCACCAGGTTTTTCGGCATTTTAACACCTATTTTTTGACAACATTCCTGATCCTGTTGCTCCTTTCGAGAGCAGAATTTGAGGTGACCACTTAAACAGTTTTTTTTTGCGTTCTTCTAAAAATGATCACTCATAGTGTTTTTCTTTTGACATATACACTGCAAAAATTGATTTCTCATAAAGTAAAAAAATCCTAATTTGTACAAATTTTATCGTATTTTTTGTCTAAAGAGGAAAAAAACTTATCTAAAAGAACAACGCTATTTAAAAAAGGTAAATATTCTTAAAGAGCAAGTCACCCGCTACCAGATTCTTACTCCACTCCCACTTCCTGTTTGAAAAATGCAACAAACACTGTTGCATGGCAGACCGAGAAGGCGGAGCCGCTAACAAATACACACACTCCTAAATTTTCTTCTTTTTGACTAAATAAAATGTGGCAGTGGGGTAAGCAGAGGTTGCTTGGCTAATTCCTAAGAGAGTGGTTCACTCGCTTTATCAATACATTTGCAATGGTCTCTCTTTAGTCTCTTAGACTAAAAATAAGGCAAAAAAGTCCTCTTTTGTATGTTCATACTGTTTTTCTTTTGAATGCATTTTAAAGTTCTTTTTTTTAAACACAGGAAAGGTGTTATTATCTTGCTTACAGTTTTGATCACTCCTGCGATCTTCATCAGGGCTAGCCGCTAATGGCAGCGTCACTTCCTTCTCTGTTTATCTGCAGGCAGCAGAGGACGGTGGCGCCCCCTGCTGCCCACACTCTCCTCACCAATGGCACAGTTCTGCGCCCACGTTTCCGTATTTCTATGGCTTCCTTAATCCATCTTTTATATTTCTGTTGTTGGTGGTTATTACGAGGGAGTCTATACATTAGATCATGCATGGAACTGTGTCATTGGTGAGGAGAGCGCAGGCAGCAGGGGGCGCCACCATCCTCTGCTGCCCACGGGTAAACGGAGAAGGAAGTGACGCCGCCAATTAGCAGCAAGCTAATGTATTAAAAAATAAGACGTTTTTAACGTTTAATGTTTTTGCAGTGTATCTACAGTGTAATTTCAACTTTATTTTATGGAGCACATAAGTGGGAGCATGTCACTCCCCTCCTGACAGCTTTGGACTGGCTACCGGTGCAGTTGCATCTTGTTCAAAATCCTGGTCCTTGTTTGTCAATCCCTGTCTGGATCAGCACCGCCATATTTGGCCTCCCTGCTGACCCGTTACATCCCTGCAAGATCATTACGTTCGGGTCAGAGTGACCTTTTGGTGGTGCCGCGATCAAAGCGTACGTCTAGGGGTGATTGTGCCTTTGCAGTTCTGGGTCTTCAGCTTTGGAACCAACTCCCACAAGAAATGAAGCAGTCCACATCGCTGCCCAGTTTTAAAGCAAGGCTTAAGCTGTATTTTAGATCTGTTTCTAAGTTGTTTCTATTCAAATTTGAATGTTTTTGATCACTATCCTTATATTGTCTTCAGCTCTTTTTTGTTTTTAAATGTTTTCATCTTTGTATTTTATTATAGAGCTGTTTTATTGTGCTGCTTCTTTGTGCTATTTTCAGCCCAGTGGGCCCCCGTGATTGGGGGTGAGAAGGGGCTTTACAAATAAAATGAACTTGAACTTAAGAGATTAATCAACACCGTAGCTGGGAATTTCTGCATTGGGCATCCCGCGAGCCACCTGTGGCCTGAGAAAGGTGAGGTCAGGCCGCACATATACCATTAGAGGCAGCACTTGTGGAATGGCGCTTTACAGCTAATATGCATGAGCTGTGAGAAATCAATGAAAGGCTTTGGCAAGCTGTGAGGAGGAGTTAGCCAGCTGCTGGGAGCAGTCGTTGTCAGAAGCACCTGCTGCAGCGGAGAAAGTATCAGAATGGAAATGTATTAATTCTTAAAACCGTAAAATCATCTTACTACTTTAACTCACCTGTCTGAACAAGTGTGCAACCACAGGTTGAGCAAGCTGATAGCAGCGTACAAACGCCAGCCGTGCCGCCGCTGGAGTTCAGCTTTGATCCTTTTTAAAATTCTCCGCTGTCATCTTTGTTCTTTAGGTCAGAGCAGGGTGCTGCTGAAACGTGTCGGCTCGGCTTTAATGTTCAGCAAGTTTCTCTCCCAAACTCAACTGTTCATTCAACAGCAACCCTCTTCTGGTGGTTGGGTTTTTCTTGAACATCTTTCCCCATATGGCAATGGTTCTCAACCGTGGTCCTGGAGGGCACGTTTTAGTGGTTTCTCTGCTCCACAGCACTTGATTCAGTGGTTGAGTCACCTGTGCAGCAACTCATCATGCACCACAGAAGCTTGTTAATCACCTGCTGATTGAAATCAGATGTGCTAAAACAGGGTAAAGCTGAAACCTGCTGGATACCAATCCACCAGGACCAAGATCAGAATCAGAATCAGAATCAGAATCAGAATAGGTTTATTGCCATTGTCAGTAAACAAACAATTCACAAACTAGGAACTTGCTTCGGTACTAATGTGCTACGTATAACATGAATAAGAAGATTAAAAATAGAATAAAATAGAATAAAATATAATTAAAAAAATAAATAAATAAAATGGAGAGCCACTGCCATGTGGTGTCTGTTTGGCAGCAACAACTTCGGAATCCTAGCAGGGGCGTGTCCAGGGGGTGGCCTGGGGTGCCACATACCATCTTTGGAATCTGATCCCTACTGAGGTCCATTTAAATTGATTTTAAATTGACCACAAAAGATCTATGGTTATAAACCCCAAAAAAGTAGGTGGCAGCATGCATTTTTAACATGGATTTATAACCCCAGGCCAACAGAACATTTATGTTTTATTGTATTGCAAGAAGAAGAGGAAGCTGATGATGATTAAGTATTTTTTGAGAAGGGACAATCCCCTCTTTTCAAAGTAAAACATATAACTATAGATGCCACCCATGCATGAACCAGTTCCCCACCTGGGCCACCCCATACTCAAAGGCCTGGACACGCCCCTGGATCCTAGGGACAACATCACAGCATGCTCATCTTCTCTAAATGTTCCAAGTTCGCCACGTCTTCATGATCACAGCATCCTTCAGACCAATGTGCTTTAAGAACTGTTTGATGTCATATGACAGTTCTATACGTAGAATACGGACAAATAGCATTTCAGAAAAGGTAGATGTTGATTAATTAGACTGCGTTTATTTAGATGTGATATCCAGATACGTACATATGTATTAAAACCGTGCACTACTGTTGAGTTACATATTTCTCGATATTCGAGATGTAACACTACCTTGCTTTGCATTTTAGCTGGAAACTGAGAAGTGCTGAATCCTCAAAAGCTCCCAAGGACACTTGCACCCTGGGGTCTTGCCTGGGTGGGTCTGTCTGTTAGTGGTTAACAGCATCCCCAGCCAGCCCTTAGCTCCAAGGGCGGTCTCTGCAGCAGTATCACCACACCAGCTGAGGAAGAACCTGCTCCCAGATGCTTGAGTGGATGAATAATGGCATTGTAACTCAGATTCTTCCTGCCTCTCTGTTAATGAGGAACAGAAGAGCAAAACGTCCCCGAGGCACCGCACCTGGACGGAGCTGCCTTCCTGTCTGCCCCAAAAATCTTTGTCTCCCAGGAGATAGACCGAGAAGAGCGAGACTCTGGCCTCATGCCAGGCTCTCGGTCTCGGTTACACTCAATCACACTCCGTTTGGCTTAATTGTGAAAGTATAAAACAACTTATAAAGTCAGCGAACCGTAGCTGAAGACAGCACACCTCCCAGCCATCTGAACCATTATTTAATTGTGCTTTTTTTCATGTTTGTTAGACATTTTTTAGCTTTAAATATAAGCTTGTTGGCATCGTCTCCTAACACCCTTGTTGTTCTCTTTCTCTCTACTTCTCACTTTTTCCCCTACAGAGAAGATTTGCCAAGTGAAGTCAATTAGAACTGTACATCTAAGTGAGAAGAGTGTGTGTGTGTGTGTGTGTGTGTGTGTGTGTGTGTGTGTGTGTGTGTGTGTGTGTGTGTGTGTGTGTGTGTGTGTGTGTGTGTGTGTGTGTGTGTGTGTGTGTGTGTGTGTGTGTGTGTGTGTGTGTGTGCGCGCGCTATGTGCTTCTTTGTGTGAATGTGTGAATTTATGGTATTTTCATATGTGTGCGCAAACATTTGGTGTGTCTGTGTGTGTGTGTGTGTGTGTGTGTGTGTGTGTGTGTGTGTGTGTGTGTGTGTGTGTGTGTGTAGCGGATCCCCTGGGGCCTGGCAGTATGGCGCTGCACGATCCTCCTGTGAAATCGCCTCCAATGGGACCCGGACAGCTGTGGCCAACCCAGACTGATTCACAGGCCATGATGAGAGCTTACGACACACGCCTCGCTGCAAACAGCCCTTTATGGTTCTATTGTTTTGTTTTTACATCATGAACTGTCTCACGCAACCCAATCTCCATTTTTGTCTCATGATTCGTGTCGGAGATGCACCTTCCACATCATTTAAATATAAAAAATATATATATATACACACACTCTTTCAGCTTCTCACACAGTGACATGTTGCCCAATCAAATGTGACTCCTGACGTAGTTTGTCACTCCTTTGCAAAAAGGAATTATGATTTCAAAGCGAGACAAACTTCAAAACAAGGAGATAAATTAACAGGCAACTCACTTCCATTCACCCTGCCTGTAAACATACACGAGCACAAAGCGAAATAACACTCGACAGGCTCGAATAAGCTTTAAAAACAAAGCAAATATCTAAATTTCAAGGAAAAGGTCACTTTGTCGTGCTTTCTTGGAAAATAAATCCCTGCATATATTCTCTCTTATAAATAACAACAAATATGTTTTCTTTAAATTTCATTTATTTAACAGTCACCAGATGATGAGTTACATTCTCTTAAAAAAAAGAAATAGACAACAAAACTGATAATCCTTTGAGATTTTTAAAAACTATTGTACATTTTTTTTAATATATAGAATTTGTACAAAATAAAAGTCGGTAAAACGGGCAAAGGGGGCGTCGTCTTAGAAAAGAAGAGAAGGAACAAGATTTGACTCAAACATCTATCACATTTAAGAATGACAGAGACCAAGGTCATCGATAAATAAATATAAGAAAATTAGACATCATATATAGCTCTCTTTCCAGTAGCGGGAATTGCTAAACGTCTGTAGCATAAAGAAACTGCTTTGTGAGGCCTGGAAACTCGTAAAACTCTGCACATTTCCACGAACCAGCGCAGCTAAAGGGCCGGAAATCAACGGATTTACCTCATTAATGGGTTTGATAGTCTGTGCCGTGCTTGACCTTAGGATGTAAAAATAACCCCCACTCCACAGCCGACCTCCAACACCTTCCTTTGTGAGGCGACTAGAGAGCTGAAGCTCTCCTCGAGGGAAGTAGAGAACAGGGGTTTCCTTATTTTTACCTCTCCGAAGGCCAGTGAAAAATAATCTGCACCCCACTCACAAACACAGAAACGACTGAGCCGAGCACAAATAGGAGGGGGCGCACGCTATTGGAGCTTAGGAAGGTCATACTGCACTATACCAACATGGTTTCACCAATGGTTTTGATTCTTACTCAGTCCTGTCCTCAATGGCCCTTCGATTTATAAACAATACGACAACATCAACTACGAGACAACAGAATAAACGCACAAAACCAAGATGTGGATGATTGTGTGGCGTCTGATGTGGACTCGTGCAACCCAGATGGTTGCTTGTTTTCTCTCTAAAACGATCCATTTGCACCTGCTTGGATTTCTGAAGCTCAGAATATCAGCACTGAAAACATGAGAACATAGCACGGATAATGCAGATGATTTACGATATGAACACAATACTAATTCCCATACGCGCACATCCAAGGAGCATGAAAACTGAGACTGACTGATCAACAACAGGCTTTTGTTTTCATCTTTGTTTCTCTTTTATTACCCTTTTTGATGGAGCAACTAGACAGTGACATTGGCCGTTCTCAGAGCAGGGCGTCAGGCAGAGTGAGCCGAAGTTAATCGCTATTTTGCGTTGGTGCTTTCGGTGCATTACACCAGGGAGACGGGCGACGGTCGGGACAGCAGGGGCGAGCAAGAAAGGACAACATGTTGGAGTCTCAATTATGACACAATGCCGCTGCTGCAACACTTTGGAGATTAAAAGCAAGATGCTGAATTTCAATCAAGCAACATTAATGGCTCGGTGTGAGGAATGGTCACTTTGTCTCCACCGGCTGACAAATGGAAGGGGAGGGGGGCAGACTGGGACAAGAGGCCCAGGTGAAACGAGGTGATATGACATTTTAACTCACCAAATTGCATGCTAGCCACTAATGATAGCATCCATTTAATGACATGATGACAAGGTTTTTTAAACCGAAGGCAAGGGGGCCTTTACAAAATGTTACATCCGAGAGAAAAAAGCCAAAGCACCAAGGACTAAACACGGAAAGCAATGAAAAGCACAGCTGCTGAAAAATCAAATGATCCGGACTTATGGATAAGCAAGATTTTATTTAACAGGTGAGAATACGGCCAATTTAACCACCCAGTGTATTGTAACTACAGTGTACTCAAGGTCAAATATAGTGGCAACACCTGTTTTAAATCAGGTAAGAATTTGGGAAAAGGAGAATGAGGCCACGTCTTTGTAATTTAAAGGTGTGGAACACATTTAATCAATGCATTTGCAGCAGTCTCTAGTAGGAATCAATGACTTGTAAGTCATACTCGAAGGGCAAAAAACACCGTAGCACTATTTCCAGGAACTAGAAGTGAGCCACATCACAGCTGAGCTTCAGGCGGCATGTTTTGGAGTCTTATTTCCTGATATTTGGACATCCTTCCTCAGATTGGATAACAGCAACGCGGCTCTACCACTGACCTGCAACGAGGATATTTTATCTCCACAAATAACCCAAGCCTTGGGGAGTTCTGCTGTGTGGTGAAGTTGATAATGCTAACAGTTAGCTTCTACTAGCCGAGACATTGTCTGCTGTTTCCTGGACGCTAAACCAACAGCAGCCTTCCCCGTTGTGGGTCAGGATGGGTGAGTCCATGAATACCGCGTGCCAGTGTGATGTAGATCTGTCAGGCTTTTCAAATCCTAGAGTTTCATCATCTATTTTCTATCAGAAGCCAATGCAGGAAATAGGTGTAGGAGACCAGTTTCATGTTCAGCTTGCATGACAAACTCAGAGTGACCGATTTCTTATCAGAAATAAGATTTTTTTTTAAATGTTTAGTCAGTGTTCCACCCCTTTAAAGATAACCCAACAAGGATAAAAACAAACACAATCCAAATTTTATTTCATTTTTAGATCGGACTTTTCTATAGGAGGACTTCCTTGTCTGCTCAACTCAAATTCAGCAGCCACCTTACAAAACATGCCAAGCTCTGCCTGAGCTGCTCTGTGAAGGCATTGCACCGTGAGATGTGACCCACTTGCATTAAAGTGCATTCAGAGTTCAGTTCTCATGGTAGATGAGAAGCGATGCCGAGCAAGCACAGCTGAGAGATTGTCATCACAGTACAGCTGATACAGGAATAAAATAATCTGACATGAAGTAGATCTCTCAATAATAAGGGGATCAAAAGAGGAGGGGTGACAGAATAAATGTCAGGACAACAGAGAGACAAGGGGGTGTTGGTCCAACAGGCTTTGTTTTAAGTCAGGAATGTCACAGTTGGCCACAGTGCTTTATGGGTATGTTAGTCCCATTTGACAGTAGGCTGTGCAGTCGTTTAACTTTAGCCAGGTACCCAGCTCTGGTTGCTGTGGGCTTGCTGTGGGCCAGCCAGACCATTCATTGTCATCCCCATGCCCATAGTCACACCCATTCCCATTCCCATGCCGATACCAACTCCCTGGGCAAGGGAGCAATCAAAGTTAAAGTCCATCTCCTCCCCAGAGTCCATAATATCATGGAGGAGGATGGACTCCACATCACAATCCAAGCTCCCATGGAACATGTCAATATCAAGGTCAGCAGGTAGTCTCTCATGGAGGTGAGGTTGATGATAGCCATGGTAGTTGCTACTAGCACCACCCAACCCATGCCCATGGTGGCCGTGATGGTATGGTCCATTAGTCATGGCCTGGTTTTGAGAGTCTGGGTAATGATTGTGACGGGGGTGTGGGGTAGAAGCCACATGGCATGAGTCCTGGGGCATGCCAAGCATACCTGCTGGGTTTGGGGGGAGTGTGGTAGAAGCAGGGAGGTGGGCATGGGATGGGGGGCTGTACAAGTAAGGAGCTTTGTGATTGTAAGTCTGTAACTGATCGCTGTTTCCCCGTGGGGTCAGGGATGCAGCTCTGGGTGGTGTGTGAGCATGACTCCGGCTGAGATTGTGACCATTGTGAGTGAGGCTGTGAGGTGAGTTGTGGTTTGTTACGTTGTTGTGATTATGACTAGTAGTTGTGAGTTGGTTGGGAGTTCTGTTATGGCTATGAGGTCCATTGTGGTGGACGGGTTGGTGGTTGTGGTGGTTGGATCCTACTCCATTACTGACTTGACCAATCATAGGATGGCCTTCCCTTTCCTGTCCCATGATCATGTCTTTGGAACAGTACTGTTGGCAAGCAGAACCACCAGTTAGTAAACTCTGAAGTGCATTTGTGCTGGAGTATGCCCGAGTGGTCCCAGAGAAACTGGCCGGCTTGTTCTCCTGAATAGTCTGCATTGGTGAGTGATGACGTAGCATCCCCATGCTTGTTGCACTGTAGACACCTGCACCGTAGGAGCCTTGACCCTTCATTCCAGAGCTGTAGTGATAAACAGGAGTTTGAGGCTTAAGCCTGCCAACAGCTGGATGCTGCTGGTGCTGTGGACGATGATGGTGATGATGATGATAACCATCCTCCATTATTTGTTCATCCAAACTTATGGCGCCTGTTAGGCTGGCCAGCTGAGGCAGCTGTTCAAGGGGAGGACAATGGTTTCCTGCCCCCATGGATGGAGAGCGGGAACTGGTTGGTGATGGGTAGAGGTGAGGTGAGGTGGAGCAAGACAGACCACCCTCTTCTGGTTCCTCAGGTTCTCCCTCAGCAAGAATAGGAGACAGGTGCCCGCTCAAAGTGGAGGCTGATGAACTAGCTCTGGAATGTAGATCTGTCCAAGCATCAAACTCTCCATCAGTCCCAGATGAGCCCCCAGATCCTGGGAGGGCTTTCCGTGATGGGCTAACGTTGTCTGGGGAGCTTTGGAGGCCTACTACAGCAGGACCTGCTCCAATTCCAGGACGACCAACTCTCTTGCCTCTGATCCGGCCTTTGCTTTTGATGTACTTAGTGCTGTTGTCCATTGAGACTGCTCGTCGCCGAGGGGCCTTCCCCATTTTTCCACCATCTGGGTTCAGCATCCACCAGGAACTCTTCCCTGTCCCCTCGTTCTGCACCCGAATAAACCTCGTGTGGAGAGAGAGGTTGTGCCGAATGGAGTTCTGTCGAGAGACAAAAGAAAATAGCGTGAGTGAAAAATGAAAAAGTTAAGTGTGTCAAATCCATTTTTGTTTCGACACAAAATACATTAGATGAACAAAAACTCCAGAAATGTGATTTAAATTCAAACGAAAATTTCCCCTAGAAAGAAAAAAAAGGCATTAGTCAAAAATTCAACAATGCACCTGTCACCTTTGTTTCTAAATATTCAGCCCACACACACACGGTCAAGGACAATTCTACCAAATTATCAGATTGTTTTGTGTCTTAGATATATAAAATACTAGAGATGCTGTAAAAAATCAACCTGTCTGCAAACCAGTCAGAAAGAAAATGTGAGGCCATTCAAACCTATAAATAAGTTCAGAGGACAGCTCTAGCTGGCATGAAGCAAGACCCCTGTCAGCCTCATCCAGCCTGAAATTACCTGAGCCTCAGTCTTGAGAGATTCTCCTTCTGCACATCAATCCTCTCACTTTCATTTCCATCAATCCATCTGTCCTCCTCTACGGCTTCCTTTAGCTGGGCTGATGTAAGCCACTGAGGTTGAGCGTGCTCGATGTTTGAAGTCGGTGCCAGTCTGGCTTGATGCCAGCCGCTGTCTCTTTTGCTCTCATAGTTTGAATTGGGGAGGGGGTGTATTGCAAGATTGAGCCGGGAGCAAGCAAGGCTAATAGATGTATCCAACCCTCTGACACCTACCTTCAGCTCCTGTCTCTCTTTCGCTCTCTTGTTCCATCTTTACCACAGTCTTTTGTCACCAAGAGCTGCATTTTTCAACTTGTCTAGATTTCCCTGTTTTATTTTACACAGTTCTTTGAACATAAGTCATTTTCCACCTCTCTCCCTTCAATTATAAAGTGTGCCACCAATTACTTTCCCATTATCCTCTGCGCCTGCAAGTACAGTCATTGGCTCAGTAAATCATAGAATTAGTTTATTTTTTCATCATCATTTACATCTTCAGGGTTGCTGGTGTTGTTGCTGATCTGTTCTTTGTCATGCATGAGCCTTTTAGACTATTAAGGAGGAAAATATCAAATCAAAGGTGTTTCTTGTTTGAGAATATGCTGGTACAATAGCTTACTTCAGATTGAGAGGTTCTCACTCTTCTACCATCTCTATTATGTTGTGGATTATTTGTGGCGGCGTGAATTTGCACGGCGGGGAAACAAATCAAATTGCTGTGAGGAAAACACATAAATGGGAGGCGAGCTGAATTCAGGTGATCTGTGAATGCCTCCTTGGGTTGTCTTGCCGCGACACCTCCGGCATTGGGGAAACCATGGCAACCGGGTAAACGTGAAGCGGCGGAACTATATCATATTGTGGTGAGAGTCAAGAGAGTCGGAGAGAGAGGAATGGAGGGAGAGTGGGGGATGGGGTGAAAGGATGCAAAAGGAGGCGGCTGTTTGATGCTGCTGCTCCAACACTAAGCAGCCTTTCATCTTGGCAGAGCAGGTCCGCAGGGGATGCCCGCTCCCTGCTTCTGACGGCTTGTACGTGCCGCGCCAACTCCCCGTCTCGATCGCTGGATCATCCACCTATCACACCATCCCAAATCATCCCCCCATCAAGTGTTCTGCACGCGGAAATTAAAACATATGTAAGCTTTCAAGCCCCTTGACAAAAGCTGGTTGTAAATGGGACATCTTTCAGAGGAATGAACTACTTCGCTCTGCCACTCTCTGTGACCTGTCCGATTCAAATCTCAATTTATCCCGCTATAAGGGAAGAGCCACCCCATTGAACTTGAAGGGATTTGTCATCCCAAACCCTCTTTATCTGATGAATCCACCTGCTAGAGAGATTTGAGAGATTTCAGATGGTGGCCAGCCGTGGCATCAACACCATCATCATAAATGGCTGCTGGCAGCCTGATGCATAGTTTCCAACACGGGGTTGTTTTGTTGCCACCATTGTGTGTGTGTGTGTGTGTGTGTGTGTGTGTGTGTGTGTGTGTGTGTGTGTGTGTGTGTGTGTGTGTGTGTGCATGCGTTGGAATTTAAGAATAGCTCGGGTTGCAGGTGGTTCCGCTGTGGGTGTGGTTCTGTTTACCTTCTGTTCTCTGAGTCAGGGGCAATTTGGCCAGCCCATGGCCCTCACGCCCCCGAAACAGGCAGTCACTGCTAATCCCCCTCCATCCCGAGTAATCCCAGACAATCCTGGGCTAATCCCAAGTTGATTCAGAGGCACTCCCAGCTGGGTGTCTCACACAGAGCTATGTCAGGTCAACATAGACGCAGCGAGCAGCTCTGGACATGCTATGATCCTATAGTAGTATAGAAGCACAACGTAGGTGTGCAAAGTGGACAGTATAAAATCCTCATAGGTGTGAAGTGTTACTAATTTTTGTGTGTATTGTAGTAGATGACAAAGTACTGAGCTGATGTTAACCATATTTTTGACGCCTCCATCAAATCAACCACCTTTATTCTGTGCTCTGTCCTTGAGGGTTGGCGTTGCAACATTTTTACCCCTACAGCTCGAACAGAATAAAATTGAAAACTTTATTATGTATTAAATATTCATAAAATGGAAATTCTTTTTCAGCCCCCTGGCTTGCTAAGGCAGACGAATGAAGCCCACAGAAACATACAGTGACAGGAGAACACACACATCATCACTCGCTTGAGCCCAGGCTACTTCCTATTCAAATCATACCCCTTTAATACAACGGGCCTCGTGAAGAGGGCTCTAAATAATGAATGAACCAGTGGCTAAGCTTTTCCAGAAAGATACACTAGCACGTCCCATAACACTGAAAAGAACAAATGTACATAAGTAGATCTGTGACTTTTTTTTCTTAAATGAGGGACATCCACCTTCATCAGGCTTCAATCGCAACTAAGTTAGTTTGATCACAAAACAGAAGACGTAAAAGGTTGTAGCTTACAAACCAATCAAAGCCAATTAAGGTGAACAAGGCTTTCTAGGATTGAGGCAAATCAGCTTGAGATAGACTCTCATTAAAGCTTAAGGATCTGATCACTGATTTACTTATTTAAACAATAAATACCAAATCGCAGGATGGGATTCTTTGTCCTGAGATTAAAAGCTTAAGATCTTTAAAACCAAATCTGACACGCTGACACTTTTTCCAAAACACACAGGTGTGATGAGAAGCGAGAGGTTTGCTGTTCCGTAACCTAAAAAAAGGAACTTCATTCTGGCTGAAGACGGGAAAAAAAAACAATAATTCTTTATTTCCGACTAAAGCTAATGTAGCAAATCTGCAAAACAAGCTAGCTTGAAACATTTTTTTCATGCATGTAAACAACATTCTAACATAATACAGCTATAAATATACGGTAAAATGATAAATACTTGTATCTGTATAGTAACTCTAAACCCCCCGAGGCACTTCACAACACATACAGTCATTCACCCATGCAGTGTAGTTACAGCTGCCCACAGCTGCTGAACACTGGAGGTCCCCGGTTCCTCCAACCACATCCAGAAGGCAACCTGGGTTAAACAGCTTGCTCAAGGACACAACAAATGCAACAGACCGAGCAGGACTCGATCCCGCAACCCTCTAGTTAGGACAAGCACTTAACTCCTCTGCCACCATATTGTGGAGATTTAAAAAAAAGAAATTAAGAGGTTCTCTCGCATTTGACTAAAAACCTCTGCCAATACCACAGCTCGGACTGAAAGCAACTATTGGACCATCCGGTTGCCGTTTGTACCATCGCACTTCCCTAGGTCCTCCATTTGATGAATAGAAGGACTTTGCAACTTTTTCACATTTTTAAATCATTTTCCTGAGCAAGTATGTGCAAAAATGACCCTTTACAGGGTTATTGAAATGTCATTCAGACCTCCACCGCACTTGCAGCTTCAGAGTGGCAGGCCACCTTCTGTTGGACTTGGTATAAGTGGAGCTGACATCCATGGTGCCTCTCTTTGAACACCCACGCATTTTGCAACAGAACATTACTGGTGTGAGAGGTTCTCTGCACAATAATACCAGAGAAGGAGAAACAGTCCGCTGCTACCACTTCAACTTCAGGACCAACTACGAGAGTTCCAAAAAGAAAAACACCATTTAAAGTCACGGTCAACAAAAGACCTTTAGGTGTAGAAAATGGCAACTGGGGTTTATCTCTCTCCCGTTTCCTATGGCGACGCGTGTTCCGGTACAGGGCGGACATGACCCAGGGATGATAGCCCACGGGGGGGGGGGGGGGGGGTCCGTGACCTCGCTTGTGTTTAAAAGCTAGCTTCCTTCGCAGATTTGCCACTGCAGCTTTAATTCATTGTATCAGAGAACAGCTGAGTATTCGAGGGGCAGATCCAGAATAATGGTATCCAACCCAAAGTATGTCTTACATAATGTTCTTTTTTTTTTTTTTACTAAAACATGCAAACACAAGTCAATCCAGACACTGTAAAGGTCTCCCCAGTGTAGGCAATCAATGACGTTCAATGGCTATCAGTGTCGGAGCTTATCACACATCAAGGTCTGATTGAACTACACAATCGTCCTGCATTACGAAGCTAGTATGGACGCTCAATAAACCGTGTCTTAACTGTTCTCAAAACAACGTCTGCAGTGATGTGTTGAGCAATTGTACCCAGTTGGCCACCTTGCCCCACTTGAATGAATCAGACATTAATACTGGGAGTAGAGACAGGTCGAATGGAATATGATTAGTTATAGTTCCCAGTATCATTTGTGATAACCTGATTGACTGGCATGGGTTCAGCTGTGGTGGAGGACGCTTTGCATAAAGGGTGGGAACGAGGTACCACAAGGGGCCCCATCCAAACTATACAAAGGAGTGCCCTTAAAATGCCCCCCAACTTGCCCATCCCCCTTCGTGAGGCCTCCTTCAGCATCCACTCAGAGGTTTCCCGCTCACACAGAGAGGAGCAAGGAAACAGGTCAAATGGTTTATAAGACCCAACTTGTGGCGAATGTGCACTCATTCAAACAGAACTTAGCGAGAAACCAAGGACTGTGAATGGAGTCTGGGAACCGGCAAAAAGAAACCAC